TTAGTGATGTTACTGGAATGTTCTTACACGTCGAATCTATACTAAGCCAAACTCTTCGATTCCCAGCTGCATACCTTCAGAAGCTACTCATCATCTGTATGCGTGCCACTTCTTCGGAAAAGAAACTGCAGTGGTTTGTAGTTAATCAAGATTTAATTTTGCACTTGAAAACGTACAGAAATGTACAAATTTGAATCGAACAAAACACTAGCCTTCGGCGATTTGCTTTCGATGTGTTCTGACAACCCGTAGCAGATACAAAGCAACGATAAGCGAAGACAGCGCCGGAAAACCGGAAACAAAGAACGTAAAAAGAAGGTACATCACTGGCCCATACCGACCATCATCGGTGGTAAGCCGTTCGCAATTGTACCGGCAAATCAGTGCTCGTGTGTAGAAAGCTAAATTGATGAACACTGCACTGAGAAGCCATGTAGTAATGACCATCAAGTAGGCTCGATTTCGAGTTATCAATTTCGAGTATCTGCAATTAAAGTCACATCTGCGTTTCAAGTTAATCATTTCTAGCAAAAGCGCATTTTACAGAATCGGAAATGGGTAAGAAAAGTTAATCCTTCGTTGCGTTGAGGAGGAGGAAAAATATTATCCTGGAATGTCAACTACGAAAAGTCAGCAGAATCAGCAAAAAAGCTTTAAAATCAGTCAGAATGCTAAACTGCGTAAGTCTTCGGAGCCACGAAATTCAGTGCTAAAGTCAATGAACGTCATTTTTCATCAGACAGAAATCAAAAATCAAGAGAATTCGGATTTATGTAAAAGCGTACCATTTCGTTTAAAAAAAAAAACAGTAAGTTGACCCTCGCTGATTTTTGATTTCTACAAACGACAGAGAAAAAGACTTATGTTTTCGTCTTCCGATCAAATAAGAACGCATTGGGAACTATTTGGAAATCTTAAAGAAACAAGTATAAACCATTCGCCCAGCGCCTGCTAGCATCCCAGTAACATTACTAGAATCAGATTCAATAACTGGCCAACGCACGGGCTGCCCGTGCGAAGATGCGTTTTTTGTATGGTTCCACGCAGTTTTTGTTGCTAGCGGCACCGGTTTTTTCGGCGAATGCTTCTAGCTAAACAAATTAAGACTGGCCACCAGAACTGTCAG